AATTGTTGAGTATAGCAGATCGCATTTAGGTACCACTTGGTAACCGGATGAGTCATAACTTGGAATAGTATTAGCTTGAGCTAAGGAATTGTAATGTAGAGACGTTCCTATTACTATAATAAAGTTGTGGCATGATTGCCGAAAGGTTAAAAAAAAAAAAGAACAAGATTACCTAAGTTAAAAATAAAAAAATTAGATTTTATTAATTTGTTATTACAAAGTTATCAAAATAGTAATCTGCTAAAGTTTTATAGTTATATAATATGTATACAATTAGCTATACATATAATTTTAGTCATTATTTAATTTAAGTAGTCTGCTATATAGATGATTAACTATCTATTAGTTCTATACTATACTATCATATCTGCAATCTCTTATAAATTACCTATTTAAATACTCTGATCATTAACTCCTTCTTATATTTCAAATTAATATCACCACTATATCTGACTACTTAAGCCAACTGACTTGCTCATAGATCTATTTACTATATAGCTTAGATCCTCTTGAGATATATATTACCTAATATATTATAAATATGCAGAGCTCTAGTTAACTTTAGAAGTAATTTTTACTAATATAGTTATATATCTATTTCACTGAATTACTTAGATTAAATCTTTGTTGATATTTGTACAAATCTAGTTTTTGCTATAACTCTCTATTTAATTCATTTTTTGAGATTCTAACCAGATATTTTATAAGGTAGATCTTTTTAATTTAGTTGGCTACTAAGCAAGTTAGTGTTGCTACTAATGCAAAGTACTAAGTTGCATTACATAGCAGACTTACTTGCATCTATTCAATCTATATCTTTTATATATAAATTTCTTTATTAGATTGAATATTAACTAATATAACTATTAAAATCTATACTATTTTACTAAACTCAGTATTTTTACTATACAAATCTTCTGCTTGTAAATTCTATTAAGATTTATTTATACAATATAACTCAAATATTGCATTATATTTCTAATATCTAATTGACATTAGTATAAAGTGATTTACAGAGCTGTAATCTCCAGAAACAAACAGAATTTACTATAAGTTGAGTACAAATATTTAAGTAATTATTCAAATTTGTCAACAGTGAGATTTAAACCTCAAATCTCTTATATGATAGTCTGGTAACCTAATCTCTATACTAAGATTACCAGACCTTTTTAGTAAATTTTTTTTTATTTTTAAATTAAAATATCTTAATAATAATCTTATCAAATTTAATAATTTTTATTTTATTTTATTTTATTTTATTTTTTTTAAATCAAAACCAAGGTGAATTTTTTTATTTATTTTAAATCTATAACTTATTAAAATTAAAATAAAAAAATTTTATAAAATTTGCTTTAGTAGTATTAAAATATTTTATTTTAAACTTGAAAAAATATTTATTTAGAAAAAATTTGTCTTTTTTCTATTGACTTCACTTTATATATTAATATTTTTGCTAAAATTTTAAGCTTCACTCTAACTTTAAAGTAGATAAAATACTTTTTTTTATAAAAAATTAACTTGGATTTCAAATACTTTATATATTATTAGTTTTTTTCTTTTTTTTTTTATAAAAAATTAAACCTATATTTTAAACACCCTGTATACAGTTAGTTTTTTTTCTTAAAACTATATGTTATATAATAAAATTATAAAAGAAAAACTTACAAGTTAAAAATCTAATATAATATGCAAAAAAGAAAAAAAATTTTTTACTTCTAAAATATATTATAAAAATTCTGAATTAAATTTCTTTGTTGTGATTATAACTTTAGTTAGAAACTAAAGGTTAATAAAATATTTAGTTATTATTATTTAAATTTAAATTTTTTTGGTAGATAAAATGTTTGCAAACACTAAAATATCAAAATTGATAGATTAGTAGTTATATTCAAAATTTGAATTACATTCTTGATGTATTTTTAGTAAAATATTTTTAAACTTTAAACAAGATATCTCTACAACTACTAGATCAAATTCAATAATTTTTTTAATCCTACAGATATATGAAACTCAAATAAAAAAAAATTTATTAATTTTAATTATAAGATATCTTAAAGTTCACCAAATTTTTTCTAAAATTTTTAACAAAGATCTACTTGACCAAATTCGATAAATTTTTTTTGTTTTAATTCTACAAATATATGGAATTCGAATAAAAAAAATTTCATCGAATTTGGTCGATTTGTTGTTGAGATTAAATATTTTACAAAAACATAACTCAAATTTTGAGTATATCATAAATCTATCAAAAATGCAACCACTGACCTATCAATTTTGAAACTTTTGCGTTCGCAGACTTATACGAAAGTTTGGCCAGCATGAATCACATGATTAAAATTACATGAAATTTTAAATTACAGAGTCACGTAAAATTACGGCAATTTTCCATCGCTAAATATAATCACAAATACATTTGCATAACAACAAAAATGTATTTTAATAACTAATACTTTTAAACTACTACTACAAACATACTATATCAACCGAATATCTCAATTCATCATTACATAAAAACTAATAGCATATACAAACATCGTAAACTACTGTAATCCAGTATGCTCATAATTCATTACCAATAGTTACCCAGTAATCACGTAAATTATTTTTTCTACCAAATATTTCCAAGTAGTTTCCTAAAATAATAATAATAATAATAATAATCATAACAAAAAGAGAAATAAATTGTCAGCTATATATATTCATCCCTATTCAAAATTAACTCATAAGCATTATACCATTTGGAACTAATTCTTCAATCATTTCATATAATTCTTCTGGTTTTTGACTTTGACCACGTCTTTCCGAAAATATTACATCAGAAGATATCGAATGTTTACATCCTGGTGGATCCTTTCCCTGTTAATTTAGATAAAATAAAAAATGATGATCGGTAAATTAAAAACTAATTTAACGCGTCAAAAAATATTTTTAATATACTTATAGATAATAACTATCAAAAGCATACTTTTCTTCCCATTAAACAAGTTTCTTTTGCATGTTGCAAATAGAAACCATGTCCTTTGGCCATTCTTCTGTTTACAGTCTGTTTTACCCATGTAATATCATCACAATATCTATTTACAACCGAAAAAAAAAAAAAGTGTTAAAATTTCATAATATAACAAACAGAAAACACGCTTTAATTATCAGGTAAAACCAAAATTTTCATTAATTAAAATCTTAACCGCGTATAGAATTATTAATTATTATATATATGTCACGTCACTACCGTTCACTAAAATTCAAATTGTACGTACGTATACCCCCACTTTTTCATCATTTCAAAAGCCTTGGAATATTTGTTATTAATTACCCATATAAATAAAAATCCATTTTTTTGTAATTTCGGTATGGGCAATTCTTCGATACAAATATCTGGTAACTGTTGATAAGCAATTGCAACCTATCATATGTAATAAGTAAAATATGTGGAATTAATTAGATTAGAATTATAAAGAATATATGGGAAAAAGACAATAGATTCGATTCAACTTTATCAGAATAAAAAAAAAAAAAGACTTACACCACGAGTTGGAGCATGAGTTGCTAATTGCCATGGAGGGTCCATTAGAATTACATCAAATTGACATTCTTTTGCGAATACCTTTGGTATTAATAAGAATTAATTATTGAATACTTAAATAATACCATGTGAAGTATAATTGATAATCGACCAAAAACAATCGAATTTATTATAATACATACATCCCATTCAAATGTTAGCACGTCCGCTTTGATTGGTACACACCATTCTGGTGCTTCAAATTCTTCCCAGCAGATATCTATAAGAGTAAACACGAAAAAACGCGAAGTTTTGATCAAAATTGTAAATTAGCTTTCAAATAATTAAAAAATTATTTAAAATTCCTTTTTTTTTTTTTTAATTTTTTTTTAACAAATTAAAAAGTTAATGCTTAATTTAAAATGATACAATACCATCATTTCCAGCAATATCGTCACATTCAATACCTTTACCGCGTTCTCTCTTTTTTCCGTTCCCACTACACGTTGAACTACTATCCTGACCATTTTTATTAATAATTTTAGATTCTATTTGTGCGATTTCTTCTACTAATTCATCAATTTGTAACTGTAGTTCTGTTTCTCTATCTAACAAATATTTTAACTGTGCATCTATTGCTGAATCGGAAAAAACATTATTACTACTACTACGACTACTAGTGGCAGCTGCACTACTACGAGTGTTATACCGATAAGTGTTAGATTTCAGAGTAGTAGTAGTACTGGTAGTTGGTGAAGGAGATGAATCCAAAATGTCAACTTCTTGCATGGCTTCGTCGTATTCCATTTTAATAAGGTACTTTCTGATTTGATTGACAAGAACATTTCGAAATTTTTTTTCAGTTTTTAGATCACGTTTCTTAGGGCAGGAACAAGAATACTAGATACCCCGAAAAACTCAGCGCAACCAATTAAATGTAAGATCACGATCAGGTGTATTAGGGCTCCTCATTTTCTGCATGCATATGCAGATATCTAGTGTTGGATGTTACCGTAATTACGTTTACGTATTCTTTTCCTAAGTCCAAAATTTTAGCGGCCAAATTTGAAACTTCATTTTTAAGTGGCCAAATTTGAGATTTTTTTTATATGTAAAAAGTGGCCAAATTTGAAAATTTAATATAAATTTACTCTAATTTTGAATCTTTATAACTTTGTTAAAGAGATCAGGTGTAAAGTTAAATTCTTTGTTAAATATCGTAGGTTAATATTTTTTTTTAAAAAAAAAATCAAAATTCGGATTAGTTAGGGTTAAGAGCTGAAAACTAAAATTTTAAGATATTTGTTCGTTTTTGTTACACAAGATCCTGTGTTCTAATTGGTCGGTCATATTAACCTGCGATACAGCGATATTTAACAACATTTGAGTTTGTTTAGCTTGATTAGATCTATTATTTAAACAATTCTTTAGATGTTTATTCTTTTTTTTGAATGAGGAGTAGTAATTTAAATTTTGTATATTTATTTGTTGGGACTAGGTTGTTCGCACCATATTATCTTTTTTAAATAATTTTTATAAAACTTTAATATTTTAAACTACTATTAACAAAGTTTTATTTCTTGCATTTACAGTAGATATGAAAATTTTGCAATTCTGTCAAAATTGATTTTTATGTAATATTAAAAGGTTTACAAAGATTTATCTTAGAATATAATACTTATCCCCATATAGCAATAGCTAAAATTCACTATCTACAGTTATATATATAACTTATTTTTATTAGTTGAACTCACCAATTTCTGCAGTTCTATGAATTCCTTTTCAACCAATTTTCCAAACAATAACAACTTGCAGTCAAAGGATTAATTTTATCACTGGTTATTTTGCTAGAAATTGACTCAGTGGGGTTTCAAAATTAGTGATTCAGCATATGAAATCAGTGACGTATTTATTTCAAAATAAGTGACTTGTATATTTTATTTTTAAGTGTATGTTTATGTAATACAATAAGCTTACATGTAATATAAATAGAATTTATAGATAACTTATTGTGAGACAATACATCACTTATACAGGCTACACAATTTTTTAACAATTTCACCAAGGAAATTCTGTTACTTATTATCTTCTAAATACAATTGATAGAATTATTAGATGCAGCAAAATGAATTAGAACTGATGAATTTCCATATCTTAGTAAATCTATATTATGCTGGTGCGCACGATTAATAAGACCTTTCAAAAGAAATGTAATTTTAATGTAACAATTTAAAAAATTTTGGGTTTATATTTTTTTACATATCATAGTAATAATAATAACTATCTGTTATGGATAGTAATTCTTATGATTATAATTTATCTGCTACGGAGTATTTCACATATTAATTAATCAAAACTATAGTTAAATTGTTGGCTTCATCTTCCATTGAGTATGTGTTGTCTTAGCAGAGATAATGTTTAGCAATTTGCATGTAGCTATTAGCATGTTGTATTCAAGAAGCCTTGGCCAAAAGCTCCAAGTCTAAAAGAACTTTGTCATGCAAAGTATCTTAAAATCGATGGTATGAAATGATTTTAGTCTTAAGGATGCATTAATTAATGAAATGTTTTTCCAAGAATTCGGTTTATTTGTTAATGAATCAATTGTTCTACTTTATTAATTCTCACTACTCTATTATTTTATTAAAAATAAAATATAGTATATTATAGTTCACCAGCAGCAAATCAAGAACTACTGTATTTAATAAATGGGATTTGAAAACCCACTCTAATATAACTGCCAAAACTTAACAATTTAAATGTGCCTTTCGATGACCGAAATAACAAAGTTTCAATTTACTGATAAACAACTAAAAGACATTCGACATGAAAACAGAATAACTCACAAACAACAAGATTCCACTTCAATAATCCTATCATATTTTTTAAAAATAGAATGTATAAAGTTTTATATAACTAAGAAAAATATTTAAACCTAACTTTGATCTTATCGAATTCTTTGATATATATTTTATTTAATATAAAATTAAACCTCTTGTTAATGATTATGGTATAACTCCCCCAAAGTTATTCTCCATTAACTTATTCTCTATATTACCGACAGGATATTTTATCTATAGCATGTTTTCTTGATAAGACAAATCTCTTCAACATTAATAATTCTAACTAACAATAACTCTAAATTGAGTCAATGTCTTGTCAAAGAAAATGGTTGTCGAAAATATGTCAAAAAATGGGTTGTAGGTGAAATAGCAATATAGTATCGTAGAATTAACTTTTGGAGAATTGAGTGACAATGTTGTAAATGATACATCAAATCTAATTAAGATACTGTATTAATAATTTTTAAATTCGAATAATTTAATTTTAAATTCTACTAAACTTTAAAGATTTAATTATTAGGGTGTTTCAAAATTAACATATTTCAAAAATAAGTGGGAGTTTAAAAAATCTTATTGTATAAAATCAGAAAATGAAATAAAAGCGTCGGGATTATAAATCAGTTATAAATAAACATACACTTAAAAAATAAAATATACTTTGCAAATCACTTATTTTGAAATAAATACGCCATCCGAAATTAGACACCGAATCACTAATTTTGAAACCCCCATTAATTCGAATTCATTTATTTAATTCCTATTCATTAATTTCAATTCGATTTAAAATCATTTATTTCCAGATCAAATAGTTTACTATCAGTATCTATAAAAAAGATTGTTAAAATATTATTATATAAAGTAGAATAATTATAAACAAATATATAATTACCATTATATGAAATAAGTTTGCTTTGATAACTTGTTTTATATGTTTGCATGCTTTCGATTGTAACGATAATACTTCGTATTTTCTTATCATACTCGGATAATTCTAATAAAATATTTTTATTGGTTTGCCATTCAAGAAAAATATCATAAATTTCAGCAGCTGATGGTCGATTTTCTGGCTCTTTATCCCAACATCTTTTCATAAGATCTATATAGTATAAGTTTGCGCCTTCAAAAATATATAGTCGTAAACTATTACATACTTGTAATTGAAATTGTAATTTAGATTTTTGCTCGAAGATAATAGGTCTCTCATGTAAAATTTTCCACATAATAATTCCAAAAGAATAAATATCTGATGCTTTAGTATATAGTTGTCGACTTAAAATTTCAGGAGCAATATATGATAAAACTCCATAAACTCTATTATGTTCAGATTTGATTTTATATTAGCAGATATTGAAAGTCCTAAATCCGCAATATAAGTACAATGGAAATCATCTTGTAATATATTTCCACTATGCAAATCTCAGTGAATGAGATCTTGAAAATGAATTATTTTAGGATCTGATGCAATACAAAGTAAAAGATTTAATTTTCTTTTCCATTTCATTTTTGATATATTGTGAAGATTTTTATATAAAGATCTCATCTTAGCATATACTATAACAAGGATATAATCTTTAGAAATATTGCTACTTGATAGTCCAAAACATTTTAAAAAAGTTAGATTTTTAAAACCAATATCGCAGTATGCCTTTAACTTATTATTAAAAAAAAATTTTTTAAATTATAAAACAATAATAATAACATAATTGCTTTAATATTAAAAAATTACCTCTTTTATGAATTCTTCATTACAGCTATTTGATAATTTAAGTACAACAGATTTGGTTGTAACTCCATATTAATTTTTTTTATACCATTTAGCAAAATATACAGTTGCAAATCCACTTTCTTCTATCTCTTTAATATCTTTAAATTCGTTATAAGGAATCTATGATAACAGATATTTATTTTCAATCAATAGTTTTTTCAAATCATCATCAATATCTGAACTTTTAAGCATCTATTCTTCTGTAACTGATAAATAAATAAAATTTTTGTTAATATAAATAATTAATTAGTAATTTTTAAGTCATCTGAAAAAAATTAATCTACGCCACATTTTACTAAAATTTCAGATACTTGTAACTTGTAAATTAAATTAGCTAATTGGAATTACCTGATGTTAAATTTTTAGGAGGCAATTATTTTACCAACACTTATTTTACTGACTGTCATTTCATCGACATTTTAGCTGATTTAGAGTTAGGGTTTAGCTAGTTTTATATTTTCGATAAAATTATTGTTAGTGAAATAACATGAACCCAAAATTTTCACTCTATTATTTAATACATAAATTTATTAAATAAATACAAAAATATATAATTAAAAAAAAAACAATTATTTACCTTTCATACTAATGATACCTGATGAATAACGAAACTTTCATCAGTGATGAATGGCAAAACCATTCGTCAGGCAATTTCGAGTTGACGAAATAACAAATGATGAAACTAACAATGAATGACAAAACTTATGACGAATCATAAATTTATATGATTTTATATGTAATATAAGAATTTAGATGTAATAAATTCAAAATACAATTTATAACAATAATAGAAATAAATTAGTCCATGTGAAATTAATTTTTGGTTCAATATCTACCCAGTTTCTTTTTTTTTTGACATGTTAATTCGACATTATCTGATAATTTGCATCAATCACCCGAATATATCCAATAGGTCTGATGAAAGAAATCTATTAACAATAAAAAGAATTATTAGCTTCAGATTCAATGTAATGTAAAGCTAAAATTAAATTTTATATGAGTTTATTAATTTTGTAGAGATGACTTTTATAACGAACTGACTATTTAATAGAACAATAGAAAAGTTCATCTTCAATTAAAAAATTATTGTTTTCATATGAACTGATGAATCTTTACAATGATGAAATAACAGTAATTTGGAAAAAATATATGATTAAGAATATTTAAAGATTGTTATAATGAAGCTTACCGACTGAGAG